TCTGTTTATCGGTTTCATTGGTACCGGAAGTGATGAGTTCAAGGGTAACGTTTCACCGAAAGTGACATAAGTTGAAGGGTAACGTGGCAACAGTTAAACCCGTCATTACTGCTTCGCAGTTCTAGTTTGTAATGTTTTTTCATAGCGGACCTTGATTTCCTTGATTAAGGCCCCTGATTGTATGGAAATTGTACGAAAAAAATCGACATTTTAGTTTTTTGATCCTCCAGACGTCACGATTTTTATTTGATTTTAAAAACCATTTAAATATATCACCTTTTCATCCTATTGTAGGCTAATCAAGAATTTCGGGACAATTGAATAGAAAATGTCCGACAAAATGGCCTTGTACGCAATTGTGTAAATGTAATACGAAGATTGTTGACCCCCTAGAGGTCGCAATTATTGTCGGATTTTGATGAAACTTAAAATATATCTCAGTACCTTTCAATACTCCCGCATTTCAGACCATAACTTCTTGGATTAAGGCTACTGATCATATACGAAAAATTGTGGGGTTTTTTTTATAACTTGTTCTCTATCCATCTCTTGCAAAATGTGGCAGTATCTTGCCTGGCAACCGCTGGTTGTATAATATATATTTAAGATGTGGACCTAATAGACCCACTGGCCTACAAAGAGCATTTTAAAATAGTATGTGGTGATCTAAAGGGGACATAACTTGCATGCGACGACGTGAGTAATTCGTGATTTTTGGCAGTGGAGGTTATTTCATAAGTTAAAAATTCATGCTTTTTGGCTAATGTTAGGGTTAGGATTAGAGCATTCCATATTTTAAGTGTGTAGTTGAGTTTTTCAAATAGCCAAGTATATGTAAAATAGAGCCTTTGAATACCGATTTAAGGAAACTTGTTTAAGTGGATAAATTAAGTATTTTTATTTAACTTTAAGAAAACCTTTGAATACAGACCTAGATGTTGATTTATTTCGACCACTTGGACATCTAATAAAATGAACTCAACCGTAAGATTTCATATTAATCTGTACCAGCCGTAGTTGATTGAACGTGGTTTCAACCATTTTCCGCCTTTACTTTTCAACTCGACAGTGCATTATTTGCATTTTGCGCTAAAATATCAAATTTCTCATGACTTAATCCACACCAATATGTACTTAGATTATTTAACATTTAATTAAGAAAACAAAATTAAAATACCAACGCTAGATTATGTCACGGCTTAGATTCAATGGGATTTAAAACAAAAAAAAACAACCAATATTTCCGCGGAAACAAAATATATAGGACGTTAAATCCCATTTCAATTGATTTGAATAACGGAACACAAAGATTTAAAGCTCTGTGAGTTAGGTTCAGTGTTCGATCATGGGATTGGCTGAAAAATTTCATCGGGTTTCCAGGCGTGGTTGGGAAGAAAACCCGAGATCCCTTGTACATATTTTGGTAACATGCCCCTCATAGCACACTTTATGACGTATGTCCGTCTTCATTAGCCCAGTCGGTGCAGAACGGTAGGACGTTAAACCCCATTTCCTTTCATTTTGTTATAAGCTAATATTGAAACACAAGCTATTAGTTTTTCGTAATTTGCCAAAATCGACAATTCGAAAGGAAAAGGCAGTTTAATTAAATCCAGAAATAGAAAAAGTCTGTGCATTACCATGTATAGAATGAATAAAAACCAGGGAATGTACGGACTATTTCTATTTTTCTTGCGTTCTCTTATCTAGTGACATTCAATTACTTTTTTGAAATGTCGGGTTTCCTCTCAGTCTCACACAACTTTTGATCTTTGAAGGAATTATTAGTGAGCAAAAATTCGCCCGTGTATTTGTTTTCACTCATCACTTCGGTCAGTTATATAGAGGGATAACTCGTGTTTACCTTTTGCGTTCGTCACTTCCGTTTGTTGAATCCTTCATTACTCATCTATCGTAGTGATCTGTGATAAAATAATATTTGGAACGTGTTTAACCAGTTCTATAACATATGGGATAATGACCGACACCAATATTGTCCTTTAATTCTCTGAGGAGGTTGGGGGGGGGGGCGTGCGCGTTAGATAAGGTCAGTCATGTGATCAATTTGTTTTCGACTTGCCACTGGTGGATTCTCTCCCCACGGCTCAAGACCAATATGCACAAACAAATTATTTAAATACATTTGAACCACATGTTAGTCAGGAAATGACCTAGTCTGTGACGAGTTGACGTTAAAGCCCCACTTCTCTCATATTAATTTCGTTGATTAACCCAACAAGGGCTTCGTTGATTAACCCGACGAGGGTTCAACGCTTTTTCGTGCAATAGATGAAACAGTGTAACAAAATGGGCCGAAGGGAACCTACACCTATAGCATCTGAGGGGCCGATAAAGCTAAACAAAACTTGTAACCTGTGAAATTGTTATCTCAAATTAATAAGATGCCTCATGTTTCTTCCATGATAATCGTCACTTCCCTGAACATTGATTTCAGAGCTATTTTTCATCTACCACCGCCGTGTTAAACATTTCGCAGCAAAATTAAAAGGCTGGTGTTCCGCCACCCTATCAGATTCAAAACACAGCGATGGTGAAATATTTTATTTGTAAATGATTTTTAACTACATCTATCAGTAATTAATTGATTAACAAACAATAATATAATCTTTTAAATTATCAATTGGTCCATATTAAACAATATTTTAAAAGCTATGAAATGCGGTTGCTCCTAAAATCATATCCACCCCGCACCCACTACTACATGTTGGTATGTCGAAAATTTCGAAATAATTTTGACCCATTCTAATTCCCATAAAGGTTTATGTTCCAAGTTTAGAAAAATAGAAAATTTAGAATGTTGACCTATTGCATGATGGTCTGGCGGTCAGGATCCCCCCCCCCCCACCTTCAAATCATTTTGGTATGCAGAAACTTTCGAAATATTTTTTACCCCGTTCAAATTCCCATAAAGATTTGTACCAAGTTTAGAAAAATGGAAAATTTAGAAGTTTGACATGTAGCATTACAGACCTACAGGCATAAAATAATGGGCGTAAAAAACCCAAAATAATGTTTAATATGGGAGTACAAAAAAACACACAACCTATATAATGAGTATTAATTTAACATAAGATAATCATTATGATTATAATAAAGAAAAATCATATGTCGATGATATTGTCCCAAGAGTAATATCAGCGAAAAACAAATATAAATTAAAACATCTTATGCGTCTGACAAAATCCTACAAACACAATAATGCACATAATAATATCGAAAAAACATTAAATATTCTGTCAGGAAAGCCTACAGTCTTTAAAGATATTATTCTAAGGTAATTATTTGAGTAATACAAGAGAATTACAGACCTAACGTCCATATAAAGTATTATGTTACCCAAAATTAAACATTCTGATCTTTGTAGGCGTTTATGACATGAGTGGTCTGTGTTGAGAGCCGGCTACCCAACCCTAACTCCCATTTAGGAAGGGGGAGGTAGGATTTTCCCAAGTGCTCTGATCAACCGGAAGTGTTTACTCACTGCTGACCTTACATTTTAATAAACATAATCATGCACATAATATAAATGAAAAATAATAACAGCAGACGTCTGTAGACGACTTCATCAGAAAAATACTAGTTTGGCAATAACAAAGCTTATTTAGATGAAAACAAAAAAAAATCATGTTGGTTTGTCGAAAGTTTCGAACAAATTGTAATTTCGAAATGGTTATTTCTAATGGCGTATTCAGTTACCAACGACAAACACAATAATACACATTATATGTGAATATTTGTTTCCAAAAAACATTAAATATTCTGCCAGAAAAGCCTACAGTCTTTAAAGATATTATTCTAAGGTAATTATTTGAGTAATATAAGTGAATTACAGAAATAAACCTTAATAAAAACCTCCCCTCGAAAACAATAAAAATATGAAAAGATAACATCTTTTAACAAAAAAATCCTGTTGCTCGGTCGAAAGTTTCGAAAGAGTTGTAATTTGACATCATGAAGCATCCATAAAGTTTTATGTCCCAAGTATAGACAATGAAAAATTTTGAATGTTGACCTAACGTCCTTATAAAGTATTATGTTACCCCATATGAAACATTTTGATCTTTGTAGGCGTTTCTGACATCAGTGGTCAGTATTGAGAATCTATCGGAAGTGTTTACTCACTGCTGACCTTACATTGTAATTAAACATAATAATGCATATAATATAAATGAAAAATAAAAACAATAGATATCTGTAGACAACTTCATTAGAAAAATACTAGTTTGGCAATAACAAAGCTTATTTAGATGAAAACAAAAAAAATCACGTATTCAGTTACCAACGACAAACACAATAATACACATTATATGTGAATATTTGTTTCCAAAAAACATTAAATATTCTGCCAGAAAAGCCTACAGTCTTTAAAGATATTATTCTAAGGTAATTATTTGAGTAATATAAGTGAATTACAGAAATAAACCTTAATAAAAACCTCCCCTCGAAAACAATAAAAATATGAAAAGATAACATCTTTTAACAAAAAAATCCTGTTGCTCGGTCGAAAGTTTCGAAAGAGTTGTAATTTGACATCATGAAGAATCCATAAAGTTTTGTACCAAGTTTAGAAAAATGGAAAATTTAGAAGTTTGACATGTAGCATTACAGACCTACAGGCATAAAATAATGGGCGTAAAAAAAAACAAAATAATGTTTAATATGGGAGTACAAAAAAACACACAACCTATATAATGAGTATTAATTTAACATAAGATAATCATTATGATTATAATAAAGAAAAATCATATGTCGGTGATATTGTCCCAAGAGTAATATCAGCGAAAAACAAATATAAATTAAAACATCTTATGCGTCTGACAAAATCCTACAAACACAATAATGCACATAATAATATCGAAAAAACATTAAATATTCTGTCAGGAAAGCCTACAGTCTTTAAAGATATTATTCTAAGGTAATTATTTGAGTAATATAAGAGAATTACAGACCTAACGTCCATATAAAGTATTATGTTACCCAAAATTAAACATTCTGATCTTTGTAGGCGTTTATGACATGAGTGGTCTGTGTTGAGAGCCGGCTACCCAACCCTAACTCCCATTTAGGAAGGGGGAGGTAGGATTTTCCCAAGTGCTCTGATCAACCGGAAGTGTTTACTCACTGCTGACCTTACATTTTAATAAACATAATCATGAACATAATATAAATGAAAAATAATAACAGCAGACGTCTGTAGACGACTTCATTAGAAAAATACTAGTTTGGCAATAACAAAGCTTATTTAGATGAAAACAAAAAAAAATCATGTTGGTTTGTCGAAAGTTTCGAACAAATTGTAATTTCGAAATGGTTATTTCTAATGGCGTATTCAGTTACCAACGACAAACACAATAATACACATTATATGTGAATATTTGTTTCCAAAAAACATTAAATATTCTGCCAGAAAAGCCTACAGTCTTTAAAGATATTATTCTAAGGTAATTATTTGAGTAATATAAGAGAATTACAGAAATAAACCTTAATAAAAACCTCCCCTCGAAAACAATAAAAATATGAAAAGATAACATCTTTTAACAAAAAAATCCTGTTGCTCGGTCGAAAGTTTCGAAAGAGTTGTAATTTGACATCATGAAGAATCCATAAAGTTTTATGTCCCAAGTATAGACAATGAAAAATTTTGAATGTTGACCTAACGTCCTTATAAAGTATTATGTTACCCCATATGAAACATTTTGATCTTTGTAGGCGTTTCGGACATCAGTGGTCAGTATTGAGAATCTATCGGAAGTGTTTACTCACTGCTGACCTTACATTGTAATTAAACATAATAATGCATATAATATAAATGAAAAATAAAAACAATAGATATCTGTAGACAACTTCATTAGAAAAATACTAGTTTGGCAATAACAAAGCTTATTTAGATGAAAACAAAAAAAATCACGTTGGTTTGTCGAAAGATTCGAACAAATTGTAATTTCGAAATGGTTATTTCTAATGACGTATTCAGTTACCAACGACAAACACAATAATACACATTATATGTGAATATTTGTTTCCAAAAAACATTAAATATTCTGCCAGAAAAGCCTACAGTCTTTAAAGATATTATTCTAAGGTAATTATTTGAGTAATATAAGAGAATTACAGACCTAACGTCCATATAAAGTATTATGTTACCCAAAATTAAACATTCTGATCTTTGTAGGCGTTTATGACATGAGTGGTCTGTGTTGAGAGCCGGCTACCCAACCCTAACTCCCATTTAGGAAGGGGGAGGTAGGATTTTCCCAAGTGCTCTGATCAACCGGAAGTGTTTACTCACTGCTGACCTTACATTTTAATAAACATAATCATGCACATAATATAAATGAAAAATAATAACAGCAGACGTCTGTAGACGACTTCATTAGAAAAATACTAGTTTGGCAATAACAAAGCTTATTTAGATGAAAACAAAAAAAAATCATGTTGGTTTGTCGAAAGTTTCGAACAAATTGTAATTTCGAAATGGTTATTTCTAATGGCGTATTCAGTTACCAACGACAAACACAATAATACACATTATATGTGAATATTTGTTTCCAAAAAACATTAAATATTCTGCCAGAAAAGCCTACAGTCTTTAAAGATATTATCCTAAGGTAATTATTTGAGTAATATAAGTGAATTACAGAAATAAACCTTAATAAAAACCTCCCCTCGAAAACAATAAAAATATGAAAAGATAACATCTTTTAACAAAAAAATCCTGTTGCTCGGTCGAAAGTTTCGAAAGAGTTGTAATTTGACATCATGAAGAATCCATAAAGTTTTATGTCCCAAGTATAGACAATGAAAAATTTTGAATGTTGACCTAACGTCCTTATAAAGTATTATGTTACCCCATATGAAACATTTTGATCTTTGTAGGCGTTTCGGACATCAGTGGTCAGTATTGAGAATCTATCGGAAGTGTTTACTCACTGCTGACCTTACATTGTAATTAAACATAATAATGCATATAATATAAATGAAAAATAAAAACAATAGATATCTGTAGACGACTTCATTAGAAAAATACTAGTTTGTCAATAACAAAGCTTATTTAGATGAAAACACAAAAAAATCATGTTGGTTTGTCGAAAGTTTCGAACAAATTGTAATTTCGAAATGGTTATTTCTAATGGCGTATTCAGTTACCAACGACAAACACAATAATACACATTATATGTGAATATTTGTTTCCAAAAAACATTAAATATTCTGCCAGAAAAGCCTACAGTCTTTAAAGATATTATTCTAAGGTAATTATTTGAGTAATATAAGTGAATTACAGAAATAAACCTTAATAAAAAACCTCCCCTCGAAAACAATAAAAATATGAAAAGATAACATCTTTTAACAAAAAAATCCTGTTGCTCGGTCGAAAGTTTCGAAAGAGTTGTAATTTGACATGAAGAATCCATAAAGTTTTATGTCCCAAGTATAGACAATGAAAAATTTTGAATGTTGACCTAACGTCCTTATAAAGTATTATGTTACCCCATATGAAACATTTTGATCTTTGTAGGCGTTTCGGACATCAGTGATCAGTATTGAGAATCTATCGGAAGTGTTTACTCACTGCTGACCTTACAATGTAATTAAACATAATAATGCATATAATATAAATGAAAAATAAAAACAATAGATATCTGTAGACAACTTCATTAGAAAAATACTAGTTTGGCAATAACAAGCTTATTTAGATAAATTGATGACCATTGGCGATATATAACAATAGTTAAATCCAAATTGCAAACGAACCCCATCAATATTTGAATCAAAATGTTACAGTATAAAAACATTAGCTAACAAGTCTTGGAAACACCTTTACATAGAGAAGTGATTTGATAGACTTTTAGTGAGGATATCGGTTTAAACTGCAGGACGAAACAACCCCAAATGTTATGTTCCAAAGAAACGAAGCAAACTGCCTATATCTATGTATGAAGAAACTGTACGGACAGGAGAAGGTGTTTATTTTGTGTATGTATGAAGAAACTGCCTGTCCCATCTGACCGTCGGTGTGCTTTCTCCCGATAGAGATAAACATATTTGGTGTGATCTTTGTTGATGAAGTTATGGTGTTTATTTTGTGAATGTATGAAGAAACTGTCCGTCCCATCTGACCGTCGGTATGTTTTCTCCCGATAGAGATAAACATATTTGGTGTGATCTTTGTTGATGAAGTTATGGTTTTTATTTTGTGTATATATGAAGAAACTGTCCATCCCATCTGACCGTCGGTATGTTTTCTCCCGATAGAGATAAACATATTTGTTGTGATCTTTGATGAAGTTATGACATGTTAGTCTCGGCATAACAGATGGACTCGGTCCCTCAAGTAGTTTTACACCCCAAGCCTAACTAAAAGTCAATGTTTTCAAGGGGTCCGTATTTTAAAATGTGTTTCAAACTTGTCAACATAATGTTCTTTACTGTACCTACGTGTATTAGACAGACCCATGAAAATTTAGAAAATATATATAGTACATGCAGTACATACATAAACCTGCTATTGCCAATCTAGAATTTCCCTGTTAATGTTCCATTTCCCAGTCGAGTTCCTGGAACCATAAACGGCCGCTTGACATCCATCCAAGTCACAGCTGGAAAAAAGGTAAAATGTGACAATTAAATGGTCCACATGAACAATTTCCTTTTAAAAAGGACATAGTTGAAAATCTGCCCATCTGTACAACACGATTAATATTTCAGCAAATCTGAAAAGTTTTCGAAAACTACCAACAGACATGCTGTATTGTTTTGCGACTATAGAAAATCTCATCTTGCAGCTGAAGTATGATTTGTTCACAGTAAATTCATCTAAGAACTACCATTGAATGTACCTATGGCGACCAAGTGTTACGTTCAGTTGAAATGTTACAGTTCTGAAGGCGTAATTTCTATTTCCACGAATGTCTCAGTCAATATGTATAATTTGATTCAAAGACCACCATATTATGTAATTAAGCATATCGCATGGACTTTAATTTGAATTATTTATAAATAAATGCTATTAATACCTCCCCTGTCTGTGTCCTATAACCGTGGTAATCATCATCGTATTGATCATTCGGCGCCTTAACATTGTTGTGGTCCTGTAAAATATACGATTATATATTTTGTGTTTATAACATCGGGCACTATCTTGGCATGCTAATAGACACATTTCAACAGCCAAAGACAAACTTGCAGCCTAGAGGAACTAGAGAAGTTGTAATTAGCAAGTATGTATGGTTTTTAAATGTTCTAAAATAAGGATCCAATAGTGAATTATTAGACATACACAATATGTAATATATTTGAACTCTTTTAACACAATCAGCTACCCTCATTCGTGAAATTTCTAATTGTGGACATCAATTTGAAGACACCGAACATTTTTTTATTGAAATGCTCCTGATGTTCAGATGCCCGAAATAAAACAATAAATAATTTATCGACTATTCATCGAAACACTCAATATTTTTAAAACTGTCCATTCGTTTTTCGAAATCACCAGACGGTTCCAGGGACAACTATAAACACTCATCATTGTAAATATATTCTCACTATAATCATACTTGCACGTGTACATTGATTATTAATATCTAAAATGTAAATGCATGTATCTATATCTGACAGGGAGAGGGGTTTAATATAGGCTATGTCTGTTCCCCAATCCCTATTCAGATACAGATCTGAATAAAATATTGCTTATAAAAAAAAACATTTCTTTGAAATACCACTACCGTTTCGGTTCATCGTGTTACGTTATACTGTACGACATTTTAAGTTCTAAATAAAACATAATGTTTGAAATTTTATATTACCGTAATAACACTTGCGATTTTGTTTTAGAAATAGAAAATATTGATATTAATGCTTACCTCATCAATTGCATTGACTGTACAATACCTCCATGTATAATATGCTCTGCGTCCCCACGATCATGTAAGAGAGGAGGATTATTCAGTTTCACGTTCTGTACATTCTAAATTTCCAGACTGCATCCAATTACAGTATATGTACTTTAACCGGCGCCGTCACTATTTTTAAGGAAAAAAAATATATTTATGTTTAGTTGATTCTGGCTAAACCCTTTATTTGTTTTCTATCAAACTTACAATAACAATCCTGTGAAATAGAATTGTTTCAAATTAGAATCTGTTCACACAATCTGTTTACTTTTGTCTTGTCTTATATTACCAAAGAATATTAAAATCTAACTCACCTGTATCCGTAAACTCTCTAGACCCCACTATCAACAATACATCTAAGTTTATCATAGAAACACGTTATACAAGGTTATCTTTACTGGACTCATGAGAAATTTGCAATTTACGTTAACGGCATTAAAAATCTAAGATAAAGAAAATATCAGAATATATTAAATATAGCACCCCTTACATAGCAAGCAAATGCAGCGAAAAACGTGCACCCCCCCCCCCCCAAAAAAAAAAAACAACAAAAAAACCCAAAAAACAAAAATATTAGTTGCCTAAAGAAGATGTAGGATTAGTCGATGCCATATTAATATATCCCAATTTAATTACTCCCCATGTCTATAACTTTCAACCAAAAAAAACTAATAATACATCATGGAAAACATCACATGATATTTACAAACGAATCTGGTGCACAAGCCAAGCTTATACAACAACAAGCCAAAATATAAAGACAGGCCCAGTATAAGATAAATAATAACGTGTGGACCTCTATTATATCATAAACTTTTTGTCTCCTATAGCGTAATTTGAAAATAAAACCCCATGAATTAATATTAGCGTTAACTCTTTTCCTAAACTCAAATCAATATGCGTATCAATTGACAAATTCATTGGTGTTGAATGGTTATATTTACAAATGTCAGTAACATTGGACTAGACCTGTGTCATAGGTCAGAGTAGCCAGATATAGGACGGGAACTTTTTCTATGTAGTTTGACGAATATATTGTAATATGGTGAAGATCTTTTATTTAAACAAATGTTGCTTACCCACAGAACAACTACCATGAAGCCATCGTCTGTAATATGTAATAGAAATATGGATAAATGTTATTAAATAAACAGTTTAATTCTGTGTGAAAGACTCTAGCCTTGGCCTGTATAGCAATCTAAAATTTTATGACGCTATGCCAAAGAAATACAAACTTTCATTATTCATGTGATGGAGGCGAAAAATCAGAATATTCTTCACATTTTGTCACTTGATTTGCATACCTTGTGAAAGCTGGAACATCCATGTCCACCTCGTCCCAGAAATCCAAGCGGAGTTCTCCACACCCCGTTTGCGTCCCCGGGTCGGCCTCGCTCCACCATCTCCATCGAGTCTTGGATCGTACGAAAGTGCGCGGTGACTGGACGAGAGATCGGGCTCAACAATCCCCCGCCTTCCGACCGCTTCGTTGCCTTCTAGAGAGAGAACTGTGGGCTAAATGATCCCCTGCCTACCGTTCTCCACCGTCTCGCGTCTTGGATCGTACGAAAGTGTGCGGTGACTGGACGAGTGATCGGGCTCAACGATCCCCCGCCTTCCGACCGCTTCGCTGCCTGTGACTTTACATGAGCATTAACTCCTCAGCACTGTACTCAGAGGGAATCCGATGTACCATGCATTTCTCACAGCTCGTCCACATCGTCCCGGAGAGCCAAGCGGAGTTCTCCGGTTTTCGTGACCGTGATAGTCGGTAGGCAGTACACCGACCTTTTATTTCTCGACCATACCTTCTCTAATCTTAAATCTATGGGTCTCCTCCACCCATAGGCTATAAGTTTGAGAACTTCTCAAAGGAACCAGACACCTTTTATTTCTCGACCATACCTTCTCAAATCTTAAATCTATGGGTCTCCTCCATACCATAGGTTATAAGTTTGAGAACTTCTCACGCCCGTGAGAGTGTCAAAGGAACCAGACACCTTTTATTTCTCGACCATATCTTCTCAAATCTTAAATCTATGGGTCTCCTCCATACCATAGGGTATAAGTTTGAGAACTTCTCACGCCCGTGAGAGTGTCAAAGGAACCAGACACCTTTTATTTCTCGACCATACCTTCTCAAATCTTAAATCTATGGGTCTCCTCCATACCATAGGGTATAAGTTTGAGAACTTCTCACGCCCGTGAGAGTGTCAAAGGAACCAGACACCTTTTATTTCTCGACCATATCTTCTCAAATCTTAAAACTATGGGTCTCCTCCACACCATAGACTATAAGTTTGAGAACTTCTCACGCCCGTGAGAGTGTCAAAGGAACCAGACACCTTTTATTTCTCGACCATACCTTGCCTAATCTTAAATCTATAGGTCTCCTCCACAGCATAGGATTTAAGTTTGAGATCTTCCATTAACTCCTCAGCACTGCACTCAAGAGGGAATGCCAGGTACCACCCATTTCCGCGAGCTGTGACCAGGCTCCGAGGAGTTGTCGTCCGCGGGTCGGCCTCGCTCCACCGTCTCCATCAGTCTTGGATCGTACGAAAGTGCGCGGTGACTGGACGAGAGATCGGGCTCAACAATCCCCCGCCTTCCGACCGCTTCGTTGCCTTCTAGAGAGAGAACCGTGGGCTAAATGATCCCCTGCCTTCCATTCTCCACCGTCTCGAGTCTTGGATCGTACGAAAGTGCGCAGTGACTGGACGAGAGATCGGGCTCAACAATCCCCCGCCTTCCGACCGCTTCGTTGCCTTCTAGAGAGAGAACTGTGGGCTAAATGATCCCCTGCCTTCCATTCTCCACCGTCTCGAGTCTTGGATCGTACGAAAGTGCGCAGTGACTGGACGAGAGATCGGGCTCAACAATCCCCCGCCTTCCGACCGCTTCGTTGCCTTCGAGAGAGAGAGAACCGTGGCTAAACGATCCCCTACCTTCCGTTCTCCGTTTTCGTCTCCGGGTCGGCCTCGCTCCGTCTCCATCGATTCTTGGATCGTACGAAAGTGCGCAGTGACTGGACGAGAGATCGGGCTCAACAATCCCCCGCCTTCCGACCGCTTCGTTGCCTTCGAGAGAGAGAGAGAACCGTGGCTAAACGATCCCCTACCTACCGTTCTCGCTCCACCGTCTCGCGTCTTGGATCGTACGAAAGTGTGCGGTGACTGGACGAGTGATCGGGCTCAACGATCCCCCGCCTTCCGACCGCTTCGCTGCCTGTGACTTTACATGAGCATTAACTCCTCAGCACTGTACTCAGAGGGAATCCGATGTACCACGCATTTCTCACAGCTCGTCCACATCGTCCCGGAGAGCCAAGCGGAGTTCTCCGGTTTTCGTGACCGTGATAGTCGGTAGGCAGTACACCGACCTTTTATTTCTCGACCATACCTTCTCTAATCTTAAATCTATGGGTCTCCTCCACCCATAGGCTATAAGTTTGAGAACTTCTCAAAGGAACCAGACACCTTTTATTTCTCGACCATACCTTCTCAAATCTTAAATCTATGGGTCTCCTCCATACCATAGGTTATAAGTTTGAGAACTTCTCACGCCCGTGAGAGTGTCAAAGGAACCAGACACCTTTTATTTCTCGACCATATCTTCTCAAATCTTAAATCTATGGGTCTCCTCCATACCATAGGGTATAAGTTTGAGAACTTCTCACGCCCGTGAGAGTGTCAAAGGAACCAGACACCTTTTATTTCTCGACCATACCTTCTCAAATCTTAAATCTATGGGTCTCCTCCATACCATAGGGTATAAGTTTGAGAACTTCTCACGCCCGTGAGAGTGTCAAAGGAACCAGACACCTTTTATTTCTCGACCATATCTTCTCAAATCTTAAAACTATGGGTCTCCTCCACACCATAGACTATAAGTTTGAGAACTTCTCACGCCCGTGAGAGTGTCAAAGGAACCAGACACCTTTTATTTCTCGACCATACCTTGCCTAATCTTAAATCTATGGGTCTCCTCCACAGCATAGGATTTAAGTTTGAGATCTTCCATTAACTCCTCAGCACTGCACTCAAGAGGGAATGCCAGGTACCACCCATTTCCGCGAGCTGTGACCAGGCTCCGAGGAGTTGTCGTCCGCGGGTCGGCCTCGCTCCACCGTCTCCATCAGTCTTGGATCGTACGAAAGTGCGCGGTGACTGGACGAGAGATCGGGCTCAACAATCCCCCGCCTTCCGACCGCTTCGTTGCCTTCTAGAGAGAGAACCGTGGGCTAAATGATCCCCTGCCTTCCATTCTCCACCGTCTCGAGTCTTGGATCGTACGAAAGTGCGCAGTGACTGGACGAGAGATCGGGCTCAACAATCCCCCGCCTTCCGACCGCTTCGTTGCCTTCTAGAGAGAGAACCGTGGGCTAAATGATCCCCTGCCTTCCATTCTCCACCGTCTCGAGTCTTGGATCGTACGAAAGTGCGCAGTGACTGGACGAGAGATCGGGCTCAACAATCCCCCGCCTTCCGACCGCTTCGTTGCCTTCTAGAGAGAGAACCGTGGGCTAAATGATCCCCTGCCTTCCATTCTCCACCGTCTCGAGTCTTGGATCGTACGAAAGTGCGCAGTGACTGGACGAGAGATCGGGCTCAACAATCCCCCGCCTTCCGACCGCTTCGTTGCCTTCTAGAGAGAGAACTGTGGGCTAAATGATCCCCTGCCTACCGTTCTCCACCGTCTCGCGTCTTGGATCGTACGAAAGTGTGCGGTGACTGGACGAGTGATCGGGCTCAATGATCCCCCGCCTTCCGACCGCTTCGCTGCCTGTGACTTTACATGAGCATTAACTCCTCAGCACTGTACTCAGAGGGAATCCGATGTACCACGCATTTCTCACAGCTCGTCCACATCGTCCCGGAGAGCCAAGCGGAGTTCTCCGGTTTTCGTGACCGTGATAGTCGGTAGGCAGTACACCGACCTTTTATTTCTCGACCATACCTTCTCTAATCTTAAATCTATGGGTCTCCTCCACCCATAGGCTATAAGTTTGAGAACTTCTCAAAGGAACCAGACACCTTTTATTTCTCGACCATACCTTCTCAAATCTTAAATCTATGGGTCTCCTCCATACCATAGGTTATAAGTTTGAGAACTTCTCACGCCCGTGAGAGTGTCAAAGGAACCAGACACCTTTTATTTCTCGACCATATCTTCTCAAATCTTAAATCTATGGGTCTCCTCCATACCATAGGGTATAAGTTTGAGAACTTCTCACGCCCGTGAGAGTGTCAAAGGAACCAGACACCTTTTATTTCTCGACCATACCTTCTCAAATCTTAAATCTATGGGTCTCCTCCATACCATAGGGTATAAGTTTGAGAACTTCTCACGCCCGTGAGAGTGTCAAAGGAACCAGACACCTTTTATTTCTCGACCATATCTTCTCAAATCTTAAAACTATGGGTCTCCTCCACACCATAGACTATAAGTTTGAGAACTTCTCACGCCCGTGAGAGTGTCAAAGGAACCAGACACCTTTTATTTCTCGACCATACCTTGCCTAATCTTAAATCTATGGGTCTCCTCCACAGCATAGGATTTAAGTTTGAGATCTTCCATTAACTCCTCAGCACTGCACTCAAGAGGGAATGCCAGGTACCACCCATTTCCGCGAGCTGTGACCAGGCTCCGAGGAGTTGTCGTCCGCGGGTCGGCCTCGCTCCACCGTCTCCATCAGTCTTGGATCGTACGAAAGTGCGCGGTGACTGGACGAGAGATCGGGCTCAACAATCCCCCGCCTTCCGACCGCTTCGCTGCCTGTGACTTTACATGAGCATTAACTCCTCAGCACTGTACTCAGAGGGAATCCGATGTACCACGCATTTCTCACAGCTCGTCCACATCGTCCCGGAGAGCCAAGCGGAGTTCTCCGGTTTTCGTGACCGTGATAGTCGGTAGGCAGTACACCGACCTTTTATTTCTCGACCATACCTTCTCTAATCTTAAATCTATGGGTCTCCTCCACCCATAGGCTATAAGTTTGAGAACTTCTCAAAGGAACCAGACACCTTTTATTTCTCGACCATACCTTCTCAAATCTTAAATCTATGGGTCTCCTCCATACCATAGGTTATAAGTTTGAGAACTTCTCACGCCCGTGAGAGTGTCAAAGGAACCAGACACCTTTTATTTCTCGACCATACCTTCTCAAATCTTAAATCTATGGGTCTCCTCCATACCATAGGTTATAAGTTTGAGAACTTCTCACGCCCGTGAGAGTGTCAAAGGAACCAGACACCTTTTATTTCTCGACCATACCTTCTCAAATCTTAAATCTATGGGTCTCCTCCATACCATAGGTTATAAGTTTGAGAACTTCTCACGCCCGTGAGAGTGTCAAAGGAACCAGACACCTTTTATTTCTCGACCATATCTTCTCAAATCTTAAATCTATGGGTCTCCTCCATACCATAGGGTATAAGTTTGAGAACTTCTCACGCCCGTGAGAGTGTCAAAGGAACCAGACACCTTTTATTTCTCGACCATACCTTCTCAAATCTTAAATCTATGGGTCTCCTCCATACCATAGGGTATAAGTTTGAGAACTTCTCACGCCCGTGAGAGTGTCAAAGGAACCAGACACCTTTTATTTCTCGACCATACCTTCTCAAATCTTAAATCTATGGGTCTCCTCCATACCATAGGGTATAAGTTTGAGAACTTCACA